TTGATCCAGCGAAATGTGCAAAAACTCTCAATAAAAAACCGATTCTTTAAGCTGTTCCGTCATTAGTAAATATTAATGCAATAATAGTTCTTTTATAATTTTATTTAATAGGAAAAATTTTAAATTCGTTTTTTTTATTTCTTCTTAAGTTTATATACAGGTTGGTTTTTGGTTGTTAGTGACATTTGTAAACCCTGAATAGGATGTATTAAGTTTTTGAGATATCGATCTGAAATTTCGAAAACGTCATATTCTCCTCAAGAAGCTGCTCGTTTTCCGGAACCGCCGATATCGGACCACTATAGCTGCCAACCAAAAAACAAATGTTCTTGCATGGAAAACTTTTTGAGTTGACAAGATATCTTCACAAAATTTTGCATAAATTTGTAGTCGAGCTCGTTTGATAAGAAATATAATATTATAAAATAATGATTAGTTTTTAGTAAAACTAAATTATTTGGCTGGGTTTATTTTTTAATTTATGGATCTCCTCCCGATTGAAAGTTTTCATATAATTTTTTTTATTAATGTCGAATTAAGTTTTTTTTTTTTTAATTTTTTATATGAGTTTTGCGCATTTTCATAACGCTTATGATTTCAAAAATTCTTTTTCGCTGTTTTTAATTAAATATTTTCATAAACACATATGCTATGCCTCAATCAGCTGCTTTCATATAATTACAGATATGCATAACCGCACATTATTGCATTCATTTTCATTAGTATTTCGCTATTTGACGTTGGCTTACTAACGAATTTCCTCAATTAAATCCAAGGTCAAGGATTAATTTGCTGTCTGCAGATTACTGTTTACTCAGCGCATTGCATACAATTTGCCTTTTGGTTGTGACTCTGCGGATTTTTGATTTTTTCCCTTCGCTTTTTCCCTAATAATTGCTACTTACGAAACTATTTTGAATTTTTATAGTTATTTTAAGCGTTATACATATATAAATAGATAAATTTATCACCTATTTACTTAGATTATTTAGTGTATTATTTTTCACCTTCACTTTTTCACGCAGTGTCAGCCTCGTTTTATGTGTACAATTTTTATCTAAGTACTATTATTTTTTTATTTGTTTTATTTTTTTAATTATTTACATTTTTTTGGTGAACAACCTTGTTATTTTTGTACATTCACGCTTAGACGTGGATAAATAGCAATTGTTGTTATATTTTAGTAGATTTTAACTCAAATATTCAGATAAGAATTGTGTTTTTTTTTTTTAGTTTTTTTGGAAAAAAGCTGTTAAAAAAATATTAAAATGTCAGCTAATAATTTACTGAAAAAAATGTCATGTATCGGTAACATATATAGCGGTAATATTTATCTGTTGCATGTGATGTGATATATACATATTTGTTATATCAATTAATCCAATAAGAAACGTCATTTGATGAGGCCTGTAGGCAGAGAATGTTGATACTCAACATAGGCGCCCGTATACATACATATTTACATTAAAATGCACATGTGAAAGCTTCTTTCTACTTGAGTTCCCGACTGCCTTTGTTCTTATGCATGAGACAACAGTATTTAGCCTGAAGTTTTTTGTTTTTTAATTTAACTGATAGGAAAGCTCGAAATGCTAAAATAATAATACCACATTTACTATGCAACAGCCAATAAACGGTGTTAAAATAAATTTTTAATTACTTAAAATTGAAATCAGTGTTATTCCATCTAATCTTAACTTTTTTTACACTTACTTACCTATTAATTCCTGATTATTGATGTGATCTTGTTGTTGTTGCTTTTTGGCTTACTAACGAACATTAAATATAATAAGAATCTTATTTATAGCAGATTTTGAAGGTTTTTGTAATATTCTATACATTTTCAAAATATTGTGTTTTCCTCCTATTTTAATACAATTAAAGAGTTTTGCTTATTCATATAGACTAATCAACTGCTTAGAAAATATTCTTCCCACAAATTTGTCGTACAAAATTTGCGCATAAGAAATCTCCACCAGCTTGCAATGCATTGTCCAACAATTTACAATATAAATCTACATTTTTAACTACCACTTAAGGTCACTAGATTATTTAGATTTGTTTTATAAAAAAAGTTGAACTGGCTCATCAACCGAAATAAATGCAATTAAAAAGAGGGGAAACTTTAATTGGGCAGTACTATTGAATGTTGTTTTGTTGTTGTGTTGGCTTATAATGTCGAAATGCATGTGTACATACATATGTACATGTATGTATATGTTTTGTTTTGTAAATATTTTTTTCATAAATTAAATTTTTTTAATTCATTAAAATTATTTTTATATATTTAAATACAATTTTCAATCCGCAATGGATTTCCTTACATTTTTTTTAACCCTGAACAGGGTGTTTTAACTTTTTCGCTAAGTTTGTAATACCCAGAATTAATCATCGGAAACCTTATAAAATATATATATAAATGATCAGTGTGAAGAGCTGAGTCTATTTAGCCATGTTCCTTTGTCTGTACATACGCAAATTAATTCTTCAGTTTTTGAAATATTCTTCTGAAATTTTGTACAAGGTCTTTTCTCCCCAAGAAGCAGCTCATTCGTCAGAGTCTGCGGACCACTATAGCATATAGCTGCCATACAAAGTGAACTATCAAAATCTAGTTCTTGTATAGAAAAGTTCTTTATTTGACGAGATATCTTCAAGAAATTTGGCATGGGTTATTTCCCAAGGCAATAATGCAATTTCCAAAAAAATTATTGAGTTTAATAACTATAGCATATATGTAGTCGCCATACAAATTGAAGGATCAAACTCAAATCGCCGTATGGAAATATTTTTTTATTAGCATGGTATTTTCACGAAATGCATCAAAGATTATTGTTCAAAGGTAACGCTCTAATTTGCGAACATATTGTTCTGATCGGACCACTATAGCATATAGCTGACATTACAAACTGAACGGTCAAAATCAAGTTATTGTAAGAACAACTTAAACCTGTGAAGAAAAAACTTCAACCGAAGTATAGCTTCGCTCCAGCCGAGGTTACCTTTTTTTTTTTGTTTAATATAAAATTTTATACAAAACAGGTAATTTTAATGTTTTGCATATTAAATTGCAATATCCTCGAAATTTTTTTTATATGATATTATTATATTTTTTTGTATGATATACAACTTTACACACAACACACACACTGTGCAGCCTAGTGATTACATTTAAATAGAATACCTAAAAGCTCATACAGCGACATCTAGCCGTGAGTAGCTAGCGGGTAGTGATTAAAAGCTTTTTTTAGTGTTGCTTGCAAAGGAAAATTTTACAAGCATCACAACTTAAAATTTTCTATTTAAATATTTTTACAAAATTAGAAATACCACATTAACTTTATAAAATAAAATTTTTTTATATATAATCGATTGATAGTTTTTAAGCAACCAAAGAAATAATCAATTAATTTAATTTCGGAAATAATGAAACTATAAAATATTGAAATTATTTGAAAATATACATATATATAGAAAAATATGAAATAAAGTCTGTGAATGCGGAAAAAACTACTCAAATGTGATACTCGCGAACTGAAGTGCTGTGAATAATGACTGACAAAAAAATTGTTATATAAAGTATAATATAATTCATTAACAAATTGATGCAAGTTAATAACAAAAATAACTATATTTTGAAATTATTGAATATTTCGCTGAAGAAATAACTTTTAGAATAAAAAAATTAGTAATAAAATCAATAATCCTAATAAATAATATATTAAAAATAATAAATTGATAACAAAATTATAACAATAATAAAAATAAAAAAAATACCAAATCCGAATTGTGATTACTTTATAATACTACGCCTACAACTCTAATGCAAATGCCCAAATTGCCAATTAAAAAAATTAAGAACTAATTTACAATTAAAACATGTCTGCTGTGAAACGCTGGATCTCGCGCTATGCCAACTCATCTACGTCATCATCATCATCGTCTCACTCTTCTTCGTCACAACCGAAAACGTCACGTGGACGCAGTCAATCGCTCGATGTGCAAGCACTGGAGCGTAGTGGTGTACGAATGCTGTTGCAAAATGTAAAAGAAAAATACGACAATTAATATCTTACTATATTTTATTTGACATTAGCTAAAGTCAGGTGATTTTCTTTGCTCATTGATACTATAGAGGTACAGAACACTATTCAAAACGCATTGAACAATACTCTTACTTATTGCTTTTGTAATCTGTTAAGGAACAATTGCGCCTTTCATAACCTTTAAATTCTTGGACGAATTTTTTCCTCGATTTTTTTTAATGATATGGAGGATACCTAACGGAATTTGCCAAACATTAAAAAATTATTTTTAGCCTCTTGTGGAGACGTATCAACAAAAATTTAGATAGACTGTGCTAAAGTCGAAATATTTCTGAGAACCTATATTAGCGATCCAACCATGTTGATATTTGGACCACAAAGTAATCCCATTGATTAAATATACCGGCCATAAATATGAATGATTTCTCTCAAAACGCACTTATTATAAACTCGTTAGAAATTGTTATAACATATTAATTATATGAGTGTGTTAGAATTACAGATTAATGACAATTTTACTTGCGGTGACATTTCTCAACAACTTGATTGATAAGCACAAATTTACATTTTCTTCAAAATGAGATTTAAATTATTTTAAAGCAAACCCCTCTCTCCTGTCGCTCTTGGTCAGAGGCTCCTTATTTTGTATTCGCCGCTTTTCTAAGAACTTAAGCCGTCAAGTTGTGGTCCAAGGTGGTAAGAGGATGTTAAAATATATTATTACCTTAAAACTTTAACGATGTTGTGAGAAATTTTACTGCGATAATGACAGAACTTTGACACGATTGCTGCAAATAACCGTGTAACATTTATGTACAGACATACATATGTGCCTGGGTAGCAGTATTTTTTTTTGATTATTATAAAAATTTAGTTAAGATACTTTTATGTTTTTTCAGTTTTTGACAACTTTTGACAATATTCATATTCTTTCCCATTTATTTATATTTACAGCGAGCAGCAGCGCACCAACAACAGTTAGCCGTGCAAAGTGAGTACAATTCTGTTACGGTAATATTGAATTGTATATTTTTTAGCGTAAAAATTACAACAAGTAACAAACACGCGTGGCATTTAATTATCTAATTTATAAGAATTTTTCCGATTCTAAACTTTACAGCTACATTTTCGATATTGTCATTTCTAGTATTTCTATTAGTAATTAAAATTGTATATCTTTATTTTTCTGTTGCTAAAATTGGCTGCGTTTAGTCATGAATTTGTACTTTAGAACCTGACTGGAACACGTGTAAAATAGTTGTATTAACGCGAAAAATTTATGCAAATTTAATTAAAAGGTTCATTGTGCATAACCTATACATCTACATATTATATGTGTAAGTATGTATGTGTGTCGCAAAATTACCAAAGCGATTGCGTACACAACAAATTTCAGAGAATGAGTAAGTGTAACAAATACCACAAAGTGTACATAACAACAATTCGTTTAACCTTGACTTTGAAAAACTTCCCATAAAATAAATGCAGGAGCACAAAAATAAACAAATGAGACACACAAAAAAAAACTACAGAAACAATAAGAAGCGCAAAGAAACCCGTTTTGAGCAACGACAAAGAAATTACAGCACAACAAAAATTACATGAATGCATATGTACATTGAAATTACAAAAACAAAAATGCGAAAGAATAAATAAACACTGAAATGCAGCTTGAAACAACAGTAGTTCAGCAGGAGAGCGAGCAGTATGAGAGTGCACATATGTGTGTAGTTGCATTAATATATAATATAATATATACATATGTGTGTGTTGGTATGTAGTTTTGTGTATAAACAAACAGGATCGCTGTCAAGAAACGAGGGCAATAAGGCACAGCCGATCATGAGGCATTTTTGTGGGACAAGTGTGCAAAATGCATACATACATCTATCCATGCATGTATGTGAATGTTTTCATCATTGAATGCCGTGTTATTAAGCAGACCTTGAAATTCAAAAGTTTTTTAAGTCTTCTGTAAACGCTATACAAGTTATCCCAAATCTGTTACTAACACATATACTACATATGGTAGTAATGGTATTACGTTTTTGCTTTTGGTCTCTGAAGTATTTCCACATTACAATAAACATACTATTACAACATTTTGATTGATACATTAATATTTTCGCAATATTGCAGAACAATCTACTTTTGTCCGTTACTTAAACCAGAGAATGTTAATAAATTTATTATAAGTAGCGCTCGTATGTTAAAACGGTCTGAGTATGTGTGACATCAAAAATGTCAAACTGTGCAACTAAGTTGTGAAATATAAAAGACATCCGACGTAGTCCTATGTATGTATATATTTTTGTGTCAGGAGAGGAACTTCGCATGCTATTCTCACTCAGCTGACTGTGTTTTTTCTACAGAACGTGATTTCGATTGTAGATGCTTGGGAAATCAGAATAATTTCTTCGTATGTGCTATTCCTTAATACTCCCTAAATGCACATTCTTTTCAGCTAACATTCAATTACTCAAATTGTATAGAAATTAGAATTCAATCACACGGTACTTTAAGGCAATTAAACTAGTCTTTATTGCACAATGAACACATGCATACTTCCACTAAAACTAAAAGAAATGTTTTATGTTTTCAAAATAACATACAACAACAAAAAATACTTATAATTAATCTAATCAAATATATTTAACTTTCTTTTTTTTTAATTTTTTGGGCATCGCTGCCCTCAACTGAAATAAAATCGAAATATAGTTTGCGAAAGATGCATTTAATTAATTTATAACCGACTATTTGCCGGTCTTATTGACATGTAAATATGTAAATTCATATGTACCTGTGCATGCACCATATGTACACAGCTACGCATACAACGTCCAGCCACCGTGTATACGAAGCGTTTGTTTTGGGTTTGGCTGTACTCTGATTATGCGGGCTGGCATTTTTGCTTTTTTTGAACTTGACCTTGAAAGCTGTTGCATTTTATGCGCAGTAATTTATCCACCACTCAAAAATGTGTATTTGTATAAATTTGATGTGTGTATGTTCAATCCACACATCCATTCTTGTGAATTTAAGGGAAGCATTTCAAGCACGCAGCGTTGTATTTTGCTTTGAACATATTGTTAACTTTTATATACAATACTTCATGTTGTATATAAGTAATTCTGGTATTTCCAAACTGTACATCGCTACTTATACATACCGGCTTAAGTGACACTCCCCCTTAGAACTTTTGCTTATATAACCCAGCAAGCATTTACGTTTGACTAAAAGTTGAGTATTGTTTGACCAAACTTATATTTAAACGCTTTTTTCTTTAAATTGTACTTGTGGTGACTATTAGTGTAGATATTCACAATCATTTAGATTAAAAACACCATATAGCTAACAAGTGAGTCTAAGCACTACTTATTAATACTTATTTTTTGAAATGTTTTGCTCTAAAACTAATTTTTGTAAAGAAAACAAATTTTGAAAAGTTTGCAGATCCATATTTACATAAAATCTTTATAATGTTTTTGATTTATGAAATAAATATATTGAAAAATTTAAAATTTGCGCTACACTAGAAGAAATTGCGACTGAAATGATTCAAAAATAATTTCAGGTTAACTTTTCTGCCATACGCCTCAGGTTATGCTTCATACTATAAATTGAAAGAATAAATCAGTTGTTCTTATAAGTGAAATAATTTTCATAACTTCTCACTGAGTTCAGAGCTTGTAAAAAGTTGGATTTATGCAATATACAACGCCAGTATAGCGCATACTAATTGTTGTACTAAAATTCTTTTGGCGTCAGTTTCACCTACTTTTTACTCATAAACCTCCTCTTTCCCTCCGAATAAATATATTCATATTTATAAACATATTTTAATTTAACAAAAAAAAATGTTAAAAATTATACTCTTTTCATTAAATTTCCATGGAAAAATGTCAAAAAAACACCTGACCTTGGAGCGCACCATCATCGTCCGTCTACTTATTCGCTCAGTTGCATTTTCATAGTTTTGTTGTTGTATTTTTTCCTGTTATTACTTTTATTGCGCAACGAAATCATATTCAATCCCATGCCCGGAACCCATACTACACATACATATGTAATTACATATGTAATTACATATGTAATTTATATATATACATATATGTATATGTATAATGGTATATGCATTCGCTTATGTGCTTTAGACGGCGGGCTTGGCGTAGCAGCTCAGCACAGGAAACCCCTTTTTAGCTCACTGCATCTATTTTGCTTTTGTTGTTAACTTTTCGTATTGTTCATTGACTAAATGTCCCTTATGATATTCAGGGCGTCTCAGTCATATGTGTATGTATGTGTATATGTTATGTATATTAACAAAACACAAGAAAAAACGTTAACTTCGGCTGCAACGCAGCTATAATACCCTTCACAAACAAAAAAGTTTCCATACAAAAACTTGATTTAGAGCAATCAGCTTCTTGGTGAGAAAAACACGTGTTTAATTTACAGATTGATATCCCAAAAATTAAGGGACTAGTTCACTTATAAACAGATGTACAGTGAGACAGACGAACTAAATCGGCTCAGCTCATCACGCTGATCACTTATATTTATATATTTTTTAGGATCTCCGATGTTTCCTACTAGTTGTTACTTCGTGGAAAACTTAAAATGTTGTTCAGGGTATAAATATAGAATGCAGTAAATACATACACACATTTGTATTTATTTATGCTTGAATGTGCTCGTATACAAATAAGAAATATGACAATAAAGCATAACGAAAAGGCGTATGAAAACAAAAACTTGAAAAAATGTACTCTCACTCTCCTGAATTCAACCTTGTCGCTCATGCTGGACCAGCAATCCTTCTACTCATGCCTACGCGCTTACATACCTTCATGTTTTGACGTGCGGTTGTATGTTTGTAAGTTTATAGTTTTTTTTTTTTAATTACTTATGAGCTCGCAAAGTACAATATATTATTGCTTTGCTGTATGTGAAAATTTTTTTGTCTACATTGTTTTTGTTTTTGTTTTTATTTTTATTTATTTTTACTTGTCTGACTCCTCAACGATATTTTTAAACCGTTGTTTTTTCTTTCTCCTAATCTTATTTATATTGAGCTTTGTGTGTGTTTACCTGGAGCGGGCATGACGCAATTCTCCAGCAGTTTGGTCTCTATAATCCACAAGAGCACATTTTATTAAACTTTATACAGCTGGAATATATTATATTAAGTGAAAGATTGCGTGATTGTTGTTCTCTTCTTTTTTGCTTTTGTTTTGGATTTTATATGCCCACAAGAAATTTTGGCTTCGAAACTCTATATATGGGTGTTTGTACATAAATAATTATGTATGTATTTATTTGCTTGTGCAAACACACTTACATCATCATTACATAAACTTGTTACGAATCTGTTACGAAGCTATGTACATATGTATATTAAAGGTGTTAGTGTCGTTTTGGAATACAAAATCCAGAACTTAAATGAGACTAGAGTAGGTAGATATAAGCATTTTCCGTTACTTATATGTATGTACAAACGAACTTATATTTAAATAACATTGAACTTGATCTCATTTCTGCACCTTACATAATCTTCCGTCATCAAAACATGCTATTATGACCTTTTATTCTACAGAATTGTTAGAGATAACTGCATAAAGGCAGTGTGTATGAAGTTTGACACTAAGTTTTAGACGCGAACTACTTTCTGAAATTTTGAGATATCGTTCTAAAATCGCGTGTGCAAACGCTCTTTTCGCACCAAGAAGCTGTTAATTCGTCGGAACCGCCAATATCGAACCACTATAGCATATAGCTACCATACAAACTCCACGAGCAAAATCAAGTTCTTGTATAGACAACTTTTTTATTTGACGAGATAACTTCACGAAGTTTTGCATATACATACATATGTATATACATGTATTTAGCTGCCATAACGGGGTGTTAATGAACAAATCAGTTCAATATTGGAGAGTATCTGGATATTTCATTCAAGATTTATAAACTCTCTGCATTCTAAGTCGTAAT